TCCAGCATGATCATAGGCTGCAAATCTAATCTTAATACTTTATTAAACACTCACTACTGTACTACAATCATTATTTGCATATTAACATTATTTGCTTTTGAAGTAACTTGTTACCCTGTGAGAATTACTCATGAAATAATTGTGCAGTAAGTTTCCATTTTACAGATACACATCCCTTACTATTTTACATCCATACTTCTGCAGATCGCTCTCTAACATAGAACAAACTTGTAGGATAATTTACAAAGAAACATTTTGCAGGGAATTTCTGAATAGCGCCCAGAAACATTTGGCAGTATACTATAAAGTATTTTATTTTCACTTGGAATTTTTTTTTGCTAAATGAATGAGAATGAAAATAAACATTTCACATTCAACTTATAAAAAACAGTGAAAATTAACTATACAAAACAGCCAAAATTAATTCCAGCCAAATAAAATAAAGTATTTTACAGTATTACAGAAGAGCGCCCTCACAGATACAATCTGCATTTAATTTCTAAATAGCACCCTCACAGAAATCATATGCAGTATATTTCTAAATAGCGCCCTCAAATATTTTACATATAAATATTTCTCAATATACTTCTTGTGAAATAAAATTGTCACGCTATTTTTGGTCCACTTGCATTAAAGTTCTTCATTCATTGTGTAGACAGGTACACCATCAGCAATCTTATCACAAGACATTAGTTAATAATAGTCAGTACAGACATTTAATAACACATATGTCCACTCAAGGTATTGAAGCCACATGGGTAAATCCTATTATACAAAAATAAATCATTCCTATAAAGTGCACCTCTGGAGTTGAAAGCACTTCTGTGCCATTAACAGGCATAAGGGACGCTAATCTTAGCATTAACATTGATTTGTTCGTGTGGTCTGTCGTAAAAAATACAATTTCTTTGTACATTTGCTATATTGTAAATGACGAATGATTACACAGCCAAACAGAGTTGACAATTTGAACATTGTTGCTTACACCCATCGTCGCCACATCACAGAAGTGTTTCATCAGAGAAGGGAGCGAATTACTGGAAATATACATTTAAAGTCTGGATATTTATGTCCTTTTGATTGCTGCAACTAAAGACAGTCTTTACACAGTGAGACTTGCCCCTTAATGAAATCTCTACATGGACACACTCTGTTCCGAGTGTCACTTCCACCAGCACAACTGAATAACAGTTTCTGCTTTTCTAGATGACAGATGTTACTTTCTTTGATGAAGGAAGGTGCATATATGTCTTCCACAGATATTACAGACTTGCATTCTAAGTATCCTTCCCTGAAGCAAAAAATATATGCAAACATTTATAGCCAAGAATCAGTGCCATACGCCACTCCAGTAATGCCTAGATACAATGCTAGTAATATCCCATTCAGTTTTAGATGAAAACAAATTGGCCATTTTGAACTTGATCTGCCAAACGAAGTGATATACATAAATGCCCAGTTATGTACCAAGTTTGAATAAAATCTTTCCATACACAACCGAGTTCTGGTTCTGGAATGATATTTCTTTGGCACAATAATGGCAGCCATTTGTCAATGCGCCTACGTATCATAAGATGTATGATGTACCTACATGTGACAAGTTCAGGCTTGTTGCAAATGTAAATAAGAATGGGCACACATACGCACACAGTGGTGACATTTTTTCAGACTTTAAAACTGAAATTTATTTTGCAAATGTATTAGTCGTGATCATTCTTAAGTAAAACAGAGTTGTTTCTTACCTCTCAATCATTTCCTGTGTATTGAGTGATTTGAAGAACGATGGCTCACATATAAGTCCTGAAAAAAGTGCAAAGATTATGTGCAACATACATTACAATGCAATATGGACATAGAACATGCATTATTTTAAACAATTTTATTGTTTGATTTATCACAGACTAAAACATCATTGTATTCATTATATGAAATTCTGTAATACATTTATATATGTGCAATGATTGTTTTTATATGTACATTTACAATTACTACAAGTGCCTATTACCATATTTATCTGAAAGATCACCCTGGAAAAGTTTTTGAAATGAATCATAGTTTCATACAGTCAACTGTTGACAGTAGTGACAATTTGTGCACTTGAATCATTAAAAATAAAAAAATAATTACTAAATGTACCGGTACTCTCAATTCCCAACCAGAGACCCCAACACAAGCAACAATTCCAATTTCAAAGCAGTGCGTGGAAATTGGAACAAATTTCCTCAATCAACACAAATAGATTTAGAAAGCATTGCTCTGACAGGTTAAATGACTTTGCCGCAAAAAATAATACTTTTAGTTTGTTTGTTCATACCGTATTACCCCGGGCACGCGCCCCTCCCTGGGCAAGCGACCACCCCCCTGTTTTCACAAAAGTTACATGTTGGGGACATCCTCGGTTAAACGCCCAGGGTGATTTTTAGCTAAGAACGGGGTCAACAAAGTTTTATTTGTCAAAAACGAACACGTTCGATTTATTTAAATAGTGTGTTTGTTACGGTAGTTCTCTTTTTGGAGTGTGTGGTGGCCCTGAAAAAGGCCGTTTTGTTTGTGTTTTTACGAAAAACTCATTGGAACTTAACGACGTAAGATGAAACACGCAGCATGTGGCGCACACGTTCTGCTTTCTCTTCATTCACGATGAATCCAATATTGCAATATTGCAACGATCCATACCTTGGTGAGTGGTTTGAAGCACTTAGCTTTGGTTTCAAAATGTAGCATTTTGCTGACTGTGAATCCATAACGGGAGCTAGCACTTTTGAGACATCTCGTCGTAAACTTGCTACTTTCTTTCCATCCTTCATCACAGCTCTGGCTCATGTGGATTATTTTTCTGTCGTTGAAGAAAAAACATTTTGCCGACCTCAAGTCCATTACGATAACCATAATGAGGCATGTCTACGATGGGAACTTGTTGCATCATCGTTATTTTTGTAATTTTGTCACGTGAGTGGGTGCGTGAATAAATCATGTTAATGAGGTCGACCAGAGTTTATTTTCAGTCTGTTTTTTATGTATCTCCATTTGGATATGTTCACATCAGTAATAAAAGGTTTATTTGTTTCATAACCCTGTCTGCTATTCTTCAGTAATTACGATGCGATGTATCAATACGTGCATGAACAAAATTATGCTAATGAGGTCATCGCCATCTTGGATTACAAGCGGTAGTTTTTCCCGGCCGTTTCGACTTGCACTGATCATGGTTACTAAAAAAGTAATCGTGCATTGATTACAATACTTACCATATTTTGTAGCCAATTTCAGTGATTAATACAACTTCATTCGCTGACATAAAACAAGTTTTATTCTTGAAATTCGACCCCGTGTCTTAGTGTTCCCACAGTTCTTGACCAAGTGCTCACGTTTATTGAAACCTCACATAAATCAAGAAATAAGTTGTGTACAAAGTGTACGAAAGCATTCCTTTATTTGACCTTATCATACGATCACAAAAAAAACTTTTTAAAATCTTTTTT